CGCTTATATACAGCTTGTAACTATTGCTTGTACTGTAGTTCGAAATCAACTAGAACTTCTCCCTAAGCTTACCTCTGTTCCCCATAAGACCTCTGCCTTCTGAAGTATCGGGACCGCATCAAGAACGAGGTGCAACGCTCCTCCCTGAGTCATTGAAGCTGAAATCCCGGCCCGCTTGCCTAAGTAGCCTCGACCTCGAGATCAGTGGGGTTATTCCTCGCTAAAGCTCAGTCATGTGTAGGACGCCTGTATCACTAGCAGCCAACGTTCGGTCACCTACAACTACCATCGGCAAAGCTTCGCACGGTTCTGACAGTTACCAAAATTGAGGATAATGTGTGGGGATGCAATGAAGTGAAGGTAGACTTCAATCCTGGCCTGCAAGGGGTTGTCTCTTTTTGTTGACCCTACCTTGTTGCCGTTGCAACACGTTGAAACGGAGGGAAAGCGTTACAACACCTCAAAGCATTGGAACGATCGAGTTCAGTGTTGAGAGCGTTAGAACGGCACGTGCCGTTGAGAGGCGTTACAACGCCTTCTAACGGGTCACAACGCGTCCGCAGTGTTTTCCGACACAATACATTTGCAGAATTCCCACGAATTGTGGACATGCAAGAGACCTTGCAAGCAAGGTAATTACGAGTAGTGTTCTGTATGACAGCGAGAAGATCATGCGCTCGCAAGTGGAGCCCATGCGTGATCGGAGCGTGATTTTCTAGTACATGATGTGGGAACTGGGTGAATGCTGCGTGCATTTTGAAGTACAGATTTCCAAGCGCTTGCGCTTAGTAATCAATTTGTTGGGATTAGCAGTCCAACGGCACTGGTGCCAATGGTCCACTATTCATCCAACGGTATCCAAAGTTACCGACCTGGTGGGGCCTTTGGGCGTCTTAGAGGCCATGGCTCGATGAACTGACCAGCGGTCTTGAATTCACGGCGCAGTCATTGCTACATTCAACAATGAGTTCCATTGGGACCTCGTTCAGTTTCCCCTCGTCGAACGTGTCGGCCGACAGCAAACCAGTCGCCTGGGCTGTCAGCCCGTTGCTAGGTCGACGTTTAAGCCTCACTTGGGCTGGAAAATTGCCGAGGCCGCTGCACAGCGAAGTGCAGGGCGGCTCGGTGCGCGGCCATTGTGCTCGCGAAGGGGCACGATACCGTGCTCAGATGGCCCGCCTCTTCGGGGGGTCAATCGTTGCGGTCTGGAAAGACGTTTCAATTCCTATGTTCGGAACGTCAGGTTAGAGCGAAAAATAACACCTTACCCTAGACACTTCGCTTCAGTGGATCACTCGGGCGTCTGACCAGTCAATGTGTATCATGCTACTTGAACGCACGGGTGGCTCATTCCAGACATTTGACCCGGGAGATGCCGTGCTTGTGTCATGTCCAACCCTGCCAGTCAGTAAGGTAACTTGGAGGCGATTAGCATAAGACCAATCAATGACCCAACTACGTAGTATAGCCAAGGGAAAGTTCCAGTCACTAAGGATTGAAGGGCAGCGAGGCGTGAAGAGTTATTGGTATGGTGTAAAACAATGGACAGCGAGCGTTAACAAGACGTCTTCAGGGTTCAACTGGATGCTCTCGAATTGTGGATTGAGTTACCGAAAAAAATTCCTGCAACTGCGACGTTGCAGGATACAAGGAAGTGGAGGCTGATACCCTATCAAGAAGAGAACTAAGCTTCATATGAGAGGGGCGTGCGATCATGGCGCCCAAATGATATGAGCGCTGGATGGCTGATAGCACTCACCCTTCGTGTGTGCGCCGCTCTGTTGTTCCGTTGCCTTTGCTGAATGACGGGAATGTTGAGCCTGAATCAAAGAGCACCAGCTGACGGTGACTGCCAGCCGAATACGGATATCATCCCTTCAGGCTTTCGACTCCCGGCTGCCAAACCCCGCATGTAGAAATGTGACATATCTGTCACGGTACGGAATCGCGCAACAACGTGGGAAATGTCGGTAGTTCGTTGTATTATGTAATGTGCAAGCAGCAAGTGTACTGCTCTTACCTGGAGGCGTTCAGATACAGGAGGTTCTTTGTACACTAAGATACATCAACAGCGATAGAAAGCATGCGGGAAACCCATGAACAATCAAGCGGAGGTTTAACAGCAGAAAGCGCAAGCTTCAAAACAAGTGGGGAAGCAGGATAATTTGGGGATCAATGGAGAATGAAGTGCCGAGCCAAAAAAACACCTGAAACAAGGCAGGTCTTGCCCCGCACGCTAGTGACAGCTGGGGTCCAATAGGTCCCGCCCCCACCTCTCCAGACTCACGAGATGCAGGCCGCCACGAAATCCCTTGCCCATTTCCCCACTGCTCCTCCTCCTCTTTATTTCATATGCTAGCTCGCTCCAAGCACGACTTCTCGTTTCTTCCCAGGCGACTAACTCCACCCTCCACCCCCGTTCGACCGCCTGCCGCACACAGCCGAGGAATCCGTCTTTGTTGAATTGACTCGAGGCGCCATCACCCGTTGCTAGGACTATGGTTGAGCCGCGGGGAGGCTTATCTGTGGATGCCACAAGGACTTGAAGTAGTTTTAGCTGGAGGAGTTCGTCTACTGCCTCTTCTCTGTACCGCGCTGCACCACGAGCGTTTGTAGAAGGAGTGATGTTGCCACCGTTTGGGGGAGAAGGAGACTCAATGAGGGATGGCCGGTCGAAAGGTGAATGGGACGCTGAGTTGAGCAGATTCGTAAAGAGTCGGGAATGCTGGAGATTGGATGTGGTCTGTCCCGAAGAGAAGGTACTTGGTGCAGATCCATACCTCCTATGTCCCAGTACAACCGGAGTACCATTTCCGTTCGATGGTTTGCCGTGCCTCTCCAACCCCTTCATCTCTTTCCCTCCAGACTCCGTCGATGATCCACCAGAACCCAACTGCGCTGCTGAACTGTTGCCATGGTATTGCTGTACGGGATTTCCAATACCAGCACTGCTAGTAAACGAGCTCTGACTTGCACTACTGGTGTTGCGACTGTGGACGGGCGCCCAGCGTGACTTTGCATTCAAAGTTACAGGACCATTTGACAAGCCTTCTTTAATGGCTACGCGTTGAAGAACGCTTACTTCGTAACCCATCTCAATAATATCATCGACACCTAAAAGTTGACCAATTTCACATTTGTGACTGAGGATCTACGAAGTGTCGGAGGTTAACGTACCCTGATGGAGGGGTGAAGAGGCCACAAGCACGCGCCGACCGCATGTTCGGCCGCGCTCGAGGAGTAAAATGAGGGACGCATGCGACAGCCTGGGCTTATTTATCTTTGGAGCAGTCCAAGCCCCACCAGGTACGGAAAGCTTAGAAGGCTGTTGTGGTTGTTTTTTCAGCCATTCAAGAAAACCGACAAGGATGTTAGAACTGTGATGTTGAGGGAATGAGAATAATGTTCACCATCTGCGGGCAAAAGGCACTCACTGATCAACGAACACATGCATGAGACTCTTGTTTGGCTTCCCAACGGATCCCGCCGCTGTGACATCCCTAGGTTCGTAAAACCCCTCCATTTCCAATCGGTTACTTAAATTAAAACTTGCAGCGCCGGCAACTAGTCGATCCGTATCAAAAGTCATATTTGTCAATATCTTAGCGTCTGAGGGAAACTGTTCGGATAACCGCAAGGCCAACGAAGTGAGATGAGCCTTTAGTGTGACTGATTCAGGTGTGGGGACAGAGGCAATAGACGACTGGAAGGAAGGAGACAGATGATCACTCCTTCGCTTGTTTGCTGCTCGACCGCGCTTAGACGACCGTGTCGATTGGCGAAAGATGGGTGTGATGCCCGAAGCATCGGGAATGGAGGCTTTTTTCCTAGAGGAAACAATCCCATCGCCGAGATCAAGAGATTCGTTGGAAGACGCTTCTTCAATAGTCTCCGCGCGACTCTCATCACCATCAATGGCAGCCTCGAGGTCTCTCATTCTTTTTTTCTTTGCCATGCGGCGCTCTCTTTTTCCTTTTCTGGGGGCCGCGACTGTAATGACGATGTTAGACCGCCGTCTGTTTCCGCAGTGGAGAAACTTTCATCGAGCTTGGACTTCAATCGGGCTCGCTCCGTGGCAAGAAAGACGAGAGCGGATTCGAGCATCCCCAAAGTAGGCCCATCTTCCTCCGTGTTATCTTCAAGGTCGCTACGCGACGAAGTAGTAAGGTACATGTCTATTCCACCCTGTTTCCATAGAGTGGACCCAACGCCGTTTTGGTTGAACAACGCGACAGAGCCACTAGAGGGCCCATCAGAATCGGATGGGGAGGTGAGGGAGGATGATGATGAAGGAAATTGGAGGCCCGACTCAGCAGGCGTATCATCTATTTCTGTTGCTGCGCCGGAGCCTGCCTCGTCCATTTGCAACACTGGAAGAGAGTTGAATGGTTGACGTGGATGGAGCTGAGTGAGGGCACGAAAGATGGTGGAGAATGCCCCGAGGTCTCCAGGTTCTATATATGCCGACGTGGGAGTAGGGCGGGAGAACGGGATATAAGTGTCAACGCCAAGCGCCAATGAGTCGATCCTAACAAATACATACCTTCGGAGGTGCCAGTCCCTTCACTCCCAATGGAGTTGGCAGATGAGAAAGGTGAGAACGGAATAGGGGTCATCGCGGCAGTAGTGCTAGTTGCATCTGATTGCTGAGAACGAACCATGGCGGGTGATCGTTGTTTGTCGTTACTTGGCGCCGGCAACTATAAAAACAGGCCAGTCCTGCTAGGCAAACTTGGAGTAGAAAGAGAGACGGGTGTCGAATGCGAGAGTAGGGAGTCCAGCTGCGTGCTTTGGAGTACGAAGTTCTAGTCTAAGGACTTAGTTGGGTTGAGAAGTCACGTGCAATGACCATCACATCGCGTGATGCTGAGGACTGATGCTCGAGCAATTGCCAGAGTTGCTGTCCCTTGGCCCCCTTCCTTCATTTACATTCACGATCCGCTCGGCCATTTCGATTACCATGGCCTCAACGAGATGGTTGAATGTGCCGCTGGCTTATTTGTGTCCGTTGATGCCATTGAGTGCTTCTCGGCGCGCGTGCTGTACACGCGCATTATCAATGGGCTCGCCTCATGGACCCCTTCATGGGATAGCGGGTGTGAGTGCTGGGGAGGTGAAGAGAATGGTACCTGGGACGGGAGCTGGGATGCCTTCATACAAGCGCTCAAGGCTGTGTGCCAGCCTATTTCATCAGAGGGAGCATTGCGGCCTGGGGAAAGCATTGTGATTTTGATCCGCAACGCCGATAGGCTGGAAGCGTCTTTACCTACTCTCCTCGTCCCATTAACCCGTTTATCAGAGCTGGTGTGTTCTAATCCCTGACGTCATCTTGAGCCAGACTTAGCTTCAATTAGTCTTTGCTAAACATTACAACAATTCTCGTGTCACGGTGTACTTGGATCGATATGCGTCCCGCATGGGGAGCCTCTCCTGACCCTCTGCTCGTCTTTGTTCCCCCTCTCACCCCCTCGCAGACCAAACAGTACCTTGTTTCGCTGTACCCTAGATGCCCTTCGTCGCTGCTGGATGTCTACACCCCTCGCCTTGAATCGACGTATTCCAAATACATTGATCTCTTGTATATGGTATGTGCGGAAGTGACCTCGGATCCCAAGCACCTGTCATATATCGCATCTGCACATTGGCCCGGGTTTATCGCACCAGTTGTGCAAGAGTGGAAAGCTCTTTACTGCGAGCGTCAGAGAGTAACTGAAAACACTGAAGCTTCGTTCCAGTCGACCCCGCCTCCTGACGAGCGATCCACTCCCACCTCCCCTTCGGACATGGATATGGATGAGCTCGCAGAAAAATCAGGCGAAGAGATCAACGTTTTATATCCTGTTCCAACAAATGACGATTTCCATCGGCTCTCTAGGCGATCTAATAAGGGCCTCGTCTCGGCCCTCCACACACTCTATCCTCGCCTCATGAGCGCTCCCCATTGGGCGGAGCTGAACGCTCCTCCCAAAACACTCCGTCTTTCTGACACTTTAGCATTTAGCCAAAGTATTTCCTCGTCCCCCTCAAAGCAAAAGAAGACGGAGGAAGGCACGGCCCTAGGGAATCTCACTCAAAGACTTACTTGGCGTGCCAAGTTGATGCTCGTCGCCAGCTATCTTGCCAGCCTAAATCCATCTAAAACTGATGCGAGGTTGTTCGAACGATCGGCGGATGGCGGTAGAGTGCGCCTCAAAAAAGGGGGCGGAGCTCGGAAATCACCCACTAAGTCAAAAGGGACTGTGGCTGGTGCAGCCTCTAAGGTACGTCCTATCTGTCAAAATCCTTCCGCAGATCAACACTTATAGTATAATAACGTCCGAATTTACTCATCAACACCCTTTCCATACTTCAGTTACCGCGGCACCTTACAGGTCCTTCCGTCTTTCCGCTTGATCGGTTCAAAGCGATCTTTGAAGCCCTGATACTCGAACATGGTGGAGATCAGGCGGATGAGGAAGAGTGGTCTTCCACCGAAGCAAGTCGCGTACAGGTCCTTGCGTGTGTAAGTTATTTGCCGCTCATGCACTGCATTCTTGTGTTTGTCTCCCAAGCTTTCCTGCTAACTTCGACTGACAAACAATGCCATATTTTGGCCCGTTTTGTATGGACTTTGATATTTAGATGTCGGAACTTGTCCAGATGCAGCTCATTCAACGCGGAAGCCCCAGTTCGGAGGATAAGCTCGAAGGATCCACGACGTTCAAAAGTAATGTCACTACTGAGTTAGCGCACGAAATTGCTCGGGAGCTTAAGATCGACCTTGGGGGCTATCTGTGCGATGTCATCAATTGAATTGGATATGAGTCATTAGGCACCATCCAGACAAAGGGAACCGGATGATGGCGAGCTAACATGGCTATGCAGGCCAATAGCGAAGGTGTGTTGGGAGACCTGACTCGCTCATGCAAATAAATCGTTACGGTCCTCTTTTCTCGCACGCATGCGACAACCCCCAAATACAGCTTGAAAAGTCGTGCGCAGTTTGGATCGTCCTTGAAAGGGAACGAAGCGCCAAGACGATATGCGGCTGCGAATCCAAAGGTAATTCCAATTTCGTGCATGTTGAGCACCGTCTACGCTCCAGCAAACAGCTAAGGTTCGAAAGACAAATATATTTCCTTTTCTGGGTCCACGTCCAGTGATCCTGCGAGCTGCCCCTGCCTAGAAATATGGTCTGAAAAACATGTGGAGAAAGAAGTGGTTCGGGTTGATCCTTATGAGGAGCCTTCCGCACAAACGGATGCACCTACGGTACTACTGGACTGCGTTGAGGCTGAAACAAAGTCAGGGGGAGGATGCCTGCGTGAGCCAGAAGGGTCCTCGTTGCGGAATTGAGTAAGATCTGTAGAGGGAATTAGTGAACGAACGTTCGGCGGTGCGACATGTGGACATGTGGCTAAACAACGCACCAAAGCTCATCTCGATTTTGCTCCGGTCTTGCTCGTACTGCATAGTGTAGTAAAGACATAGCAGCAAATTCCTTCGCTCGCCCGCCCTCCTCTTTCACGCTTGACCCAATGTCTCGCGGAAGGTCTCTTAACTTCCTGTACGCTTGACCTCAAGAATTACGCCGCCAGATTTGACTTTGGGCGAGCGGGACACAATGCGGACGACTTCGTGCTCAAGCCTGTATGTGATATTTCCGTTCTTCACATGTTCCCCCTTCCATGCATTGTACACATCGCGCATATGGTAGAATTGAGGTGGGCGACGGCTGCACCTTTGGAAAGCGAAGCATAGTGGGTATACTCGCTAACGAACTCTTCCTCTTGATTGCATTATTTGATTCCCCTATCCAACGTTCACGCCCTGGGATTTGCCGAACACGAATAGCCACCTGCCCGCCCTGCGTGCCTCTCTTTCTATGCGCCAGGCCGCCTGACGCAAAAGTAATTTGCGTAAGTTTTCTCGTTCTATCAACCTAGCTTGTAACTGGAGTTGGGGGATGAAATACCGACCCTGATGCTGTTGGGCGACTATGCGCCACCCAACGAATTCCTCCAAAAACTAAAAGAGGGCTCGCGTTATGATAACCTAGGAAGGGGATGCAGTGAATGATTCAGCGCTTTTTCATGCGCGTGGGGGATCTGGTCTGCTTTAAAGAGGCTCTACGTCTTCCGACGTAATGATGCTGTCACGGTCCTTGTGCACCAGTCATCAGTAGACGTACTCTCTCCAGGAGGGGAGACTTGTTTCCATCCCCCCTCATTATGTGTTGGTGCACGGTATTTGATGAACGGTTACTTAAACCTAACTACATCGTTCAACTTATGGTCCGCAAAACCAAGCACGATCTTCCTCGTTTCGTTCAGCAGCTAATTCCCTCTGAAAATCAAGAAAGCGGAGGCAGGAAGGGCCTATAATGTCTTGCAATGGCTATTCTTTAATTTCTGCAGTGCAATAATGTGCCTAACACCCCGTCCCAGCCCAATGCGGCATTTACGTATTGAAACCATCAGCACAGGACTGCAGCCAATGTGCGAGAGGCCTGCTGTGCGCTGTGGCACGCGGAACCTCGGTTTGACGTATTTCCAGGCGAGTGATGGAGGATGGTTCTATCAGTCTCATTTGAGATGCAATGTGGTTTCGTAAATTTTACAGGCTGTACTATGAGCGTAGGTGCCATATTAACATTGACACACAAGGGCACACATAGCCGCCCCTCCCGTATTGGTAACAGGGTAAACCACTTCCCGAACGCTATGAGCCAATAATTCGGAGAATCTTTGGGATATGATTGTTTCGGATAAGGTTCTCAGTTGTGGCGTCCGTACCAGTGGATGATGGTTGAATCATTGGATGAGTAATGTACGCGCCTGGAAACACCCTCGGAACTAAATTCCATGGCATCCATTCCGCAATTCATCCAGTTGCGCTTCAAGCCAAATCATTCGGCAAGTAGTCATGGACCTCCACCAGCACACAAAACTCGGCTGCGTGTACCCTGGTTCAGGAGGAAGTGATGTCCAAGTATGCGGGACCGCCTGAGAACATCAATAGGTCAAATTTGATATGACGAATTTTCCCAACCGAGAAGGAACATTAAACGAAGAGTGACCTGTCCCTCGTGCAGTAGGGTCCCTTTTACCAGTGCTCAAAGGAAAGCGAAAACCTGCAGTCGTTGGTAGAGCTCCTTTCACTGAAGGATCCCAGCCGAGACGGGTGCCGGCGCAATTGGGAGTGAGCAATTGCATACTGTGCTGCATCCCTGATCCCCAAATTCTGACAAACGGCCTGCATGATCCGGCAATAAATGATTGAAAAACGCATGGCAAGTAGCTGCGTATGCATGGATCAGCATTCAAGGCTGTATCCATGACCTTCCACCCAGCAGTTCAACGAACAAATGAGCCGGCAAGGAACCCCGGGGTTGTATTGGGAAACCACAACACACCCATGCGCACAACTCCTTAATAGTTTCATGCTGCCGGGATTCAGAGTGAACTGTAATATCTGCGACGATTCGATGATGTGTTGGTCCTCGCTTCACCACAGTACCTAAAAAAGGCTAAATGGGAGCAAGACTGGAGAAGCCCGAACGGATCAAACTGCAGAATCAGTTTGCTCGATCAGCTCCACAATTTCACTGGGATAGTATGAGAAATCACACCCAAGCTGAACGGACTCGGACTGAGGAAACCTTCACATAGCCCAGCGGCCCCCCCGGGTCATACTTACGGTCGGAGTATCATTATTACGAGCATGGTTTGTTTTCTTGTAGGTGTGTTTCCCAGGCGGCATACCAGCGGCGAACCATGCCGTGGGGCGGTGATGATTTTTTTGCCAAACGATCGATTCAGCATGTTCCGGCATAGTCAGTTTCGTGGTCAAAAATTACCGATACATCAATGTGATGGTTTACTTTCCGGCATATCTTGTTTCACTGCCTCTTATTACCATCCATCAAGCTTGTTGTGAGGTGTCGGGCGCATCAATTCAGTCGATCGGTTTGTCCCACTTACATAAGCTCGAGGTTCCCTGGTTACGCTTATTTCCGGAACGCTCTGTTGGCCATCACTGTCCGCGGATGTTTCGATTGCGCTTCCGTACACTTTCCCTCCATATCAGTCGCTTGAGCTTTTCTAAACCTAGATGTCATCGCGGCATGTATGGCCGTTTTCAAACATCTCTTTACGGAGTTACCGGAACAACGATCGCCGTTATTTTGCCATCGATTATTTGGCTTGACACAGAGAACCAAGGGCCAATCCCCGAGAGGACTACTAACAAAAGCAAGGAAAATGATGAGCCATCATTTTCGTCTCTTCTTCGGTCATATTTTGTTTATACCCTGTGCTCCATCACACCGCTGGTCGATGCCGGTCCACAAATTATCTCGACCCTATTTGCAATACCTATCCTCAAGCAGGTTTCTGAACTTGTTATCCGTGAATCATTCTTTAAACAGGTTTGTTGAAGGGTAGTCTATACATTGTATCCATTGATGACGTACGGCCCCTTTTACAGTTTGTTGGAGGCGAGACACTTGAGGAAACTTCGCCACTCATCAGAAATCTCAGGCGGCGATCGATCGGTTGCCTATTAGCGTACAGCGTTGAATACGATGAGAGCGTGGAGCCTATCATGAACAGCGAGGTCCAAACCGTGACACGCGTAAATCGGCATAACATTGATGAGATGGCTCACTCAATTCGGGTGGCTGGCGACCTCGAAAGCCGATCCGATGGTTATCCCGGAGGAAAGACATGGGTCGCTCTCAAATTGGTATGAAGGCACATCTGGGTGCCTTCTGATATCGACCTAACATCGCATTCCATCTTCGTCTTCGGACAGAGTGCTCTCCTCAGAGATCCACAGTGTATGGAGCGGTTCTCGATATATCTTAATTCTTCTCGCAGTCCAAAGACCCTTTCGGTGCCTTACCCACATACGAACGAACCTGGGGACCTGGCAATCTTTACCAATCCTAAATTTGCTCCCCCGCCAGATTCCATTATGAACCTGGATGATGTCAGTGCTATTAGATCGCTTTACGATGAGTTGCGTCGACTTTGCATAATTGCGAAGGAAAAAGGCGTCGCACTCGTCTTTGATGCTGAGCACACTTGGTGAGTTCCCCTGACGTTTCACCGACTCAATGCTTAGTCTTTGTCAAGGTATACTGTGGGTAGTATCCCGAGTATATTAGCCTTGTTGGTGATTAACTGAGTGCCGGTTTTACGAATCTTCGTAGCCTGCTATCGACACTTTCACTCTGGCTCTAAGCCGTGAATTCAATCACGCACAGGAGCCAAAACCAGGAGCATTCGCTCCTCAACCCCTCATCTATGCAACCTATCAGTCTTACTTACGTCGTGGGACGCGACATCTCGCAGCTCATCTAGAGGATGCCAAACAGAAGGGCTACGTTCTCGGTGTCAAGCTCGTCAGAGGCGCATATCAGTCCTTGGAACATGATGTTTATCAACTAGGGAAGAGAGGTGAGAAGAGAATCATTCAAGAGAGAGGGAAAGGGAATGGTGCTAGAGGGGCTACCCTTGCTCATGCGCAGGGGGTCGGTGGAAACGAAGCCCCTGTCTGGACGAAGAAGGAGGATACCGACAAGACATATAATGAGGTGGGAGTGAAGAGCCGATTAGCGAATGATGGTTGACACCATCTTAGTGCATTGAATTGCTTCTTTCCAGTCTGGCTTCCGACCGCCTCAGGAATGGTACTCCACTGGTTGGTGTGATTTTCGCCACCCACAACCGTCAGGTCGGTTCCATCAGCCCGTCCTGCTTCTAAAACGGCGCTGAACTCCCACCATGAAACAGAGTTGCGATCTAGTTCTCAATAGTTTACTCGCGTACAAACTTGCTACCCGAGATATGGATGAATCAACACGGCCCATTCTGCGCGTGCCAAAAATGATTTCGGATCGTATAACTTTTGGCCAATTGCTAGGTAAGTTGCAAACATGGCACAGCCAGCGATCCGGGTACCCAATATCGGACTAACTATTTGAACATGATTTATTTCGGTTATGCATCGGTGGTTCCGCTTTCGTGACATGTCATTACCCAATGTTATAATAAGGCATGCGTGACGATCTCACAAACTACATAGCTGCGAACGTCATAGCCTCAAGTCCGATGGTTTTGAAGTGCGTGTTGCCTAGTTCCTTGATTTCCGCTTGTTTCATCTCGACATACATGCAACACTGACCATGCCCCTAATTGCCCAGATACGTACCATATGGCCCTTTGGAAAATGTATGTACTATATTCCTTGTTGTAAAAGCGCAGCGTTCATTTTACGGACCCTCCTAAGGTAATCCCCTATCTTTCCCGGAGAATTGTCGAGAACAAGTCTGTGTTGGGGGCCTCTGGTGAAGCTGGAGCAAGTGGAGAAAGCCGTCGAGCCATCGTAGCATTGAAACAAAAGCTCATAGAAGTACTTAGATTATGACCACGACCTGTGTAAATTGGAGTGGCAGTCCCACGTATCGACATTCACTGGCGTTGGCTGAAGAAGTTGCGGCTTGTCTATCTGATGTTGGAGTGATGTGCCATGATACATCACCATATGTTTACCCGACTTCTAATTAGCCTAGATATGAAGCCTCACGGAGGCGAGTTCAATGACTGATTTGTCCATTGAACTGCGATTTGAATACCGAGACTAAAACGCTTTCCGGCCGAGAGGAAGTAGGATACCGCGAACGGTGACTGAACCGGCCGGGGAGGTGGCCCCATATCGGAACAAACTGGAATCAAATCAGGCATGAGCAATGATGATATTTAGATGCGAGACTCAGATGATACCATGAATTATCTGAAAGATTAATAAGAATAGGCAAGGGCGTGATTCTACGCACCAAATGATGACGTGTCCCTTAATTATGTGAAGTGATTGAACCCAGATCAGATGTAATCGCAGTACCAATACGAAATTCTCTGATCGAACGCAGAGTGAAATTGAACAGACGCAAGGTGCTTCTTCCCCGATAACGTCGACGTCTGGCACCACCAAATCATATTTGCTTACAATGGTATCGAGTCCCGGGAGCGTCTTCTGCCGAAGAGAGGTCACCGCTCACTGCAATGCAGCGGGGCGCTTCACTATACTGATGATCCCCAACAGAGTGATGGCTGTACGGTTGTAACACATGAACTGCAATCATTGCAACTGATGAATCAACGATCTAGGGCGCGAAGTACACCCAGGGCCGAACTTTTCAGGCGATGGCACCAGTGATCCTTTCCGAAATCAACTTCAGTTCGGATGGGCATGCGCAATGCACGGCACGAACTGATGTTAATCCTGTGTCGGTGGCACTTTGCTAACGTAGAGCGTTGCCACAAGTGAATGGATTGGCGAGTGGCGACGGCGGTGCGAGATCTGGCAAGCGCTTGAAACCGGAAGCGAAACATTGTCGTCCCGTATTGCCTTCTTCAAATCAGAGAGAAATGGGGCTTGTCCAAAGTGTTCCGTGCAAACAAACTCGGGCTCGGTCAATTCTGCCGTCATCACTTGGAAAGACACTCTGAACGACCAACACGCATGAGGTGGATGCCCAATTCTGTGGGCCGACCAAAAACCTTCAATGACAAGTGTAAAATGTTGCATAGGCGAAAGTGCCACCTGACTTGGCCGAATGATTACGGTGAATTTGCCCGGAGCAAGCGCCCATAAATTACAACAAACTCGATCTAGTATTCTTGATGCAACGGGGGGCTTAGCTGGGATAGCTTACTAAATGCCCTTTGTTGTTACGATGCTACGGAACGGGCGGTGCTCACTGATTTCGAAAAAGACCCCCTTCAATGCCGTGTCGAACTGATGTGCCCTACCCAGCCACTTCGACGCAGTCATCCACTTCTCCCCTTCTACCAGAGTTTCACGAGGGGGGGTCTTCGATATCTTTCGGGAACCAAATCTCCTGACTAGAATTCATTCGCCGGTGGAGGCTGTATTATGCATCTCCGTACATAACCCCTCGATGATTAGCCGTTTCAGTTCATCCTTGCTTCTCAGCTTCTTAGATGGCTTCCCAAAAGGTCCATGGACAAGTCCTGCAACCAGGCTCGGCTTGCTTGACTTGCAGGCAGCGGAAAACGGTACGCTTCAACTCCCAGCCTTCGTTTGCAAACCACGTTCCTTACTTGCCATCAAAAATTTTTTTCTCAAGAAATGTGATGGGGTACGCCCCATTTGCGGTCGCTGCGCTCGACTCGGAAAACAGTGCGCATTCGAGAACGAGACGAGGAAGCCCAGGACTGAACGATTGCTCGATAAAATTGCACTCCTGGAGAGCAAGATAGCGGCATATGACCCCCAAAATGCCCATCTCAGTTATAACAGCGATGGTGGAATGACTTCTCAAGCGTCGTCCTCACGAAATGTGGCCGACGACCATGCAAGTATCGGGCATCCCCCGTCTGAAGGCTATCTCGCCCAGGAACTGTCATCCACCCACTCAAGCTCTTCGTCATCTCCCAGTACCGGGAGACCCATGGAGCTCCTCCCCATTTATCCTCAATCCTCGTTTGCCATGTTGCATGGTGGAGGAGTGGATGGGGGCGACCTGAATATCGTGCACACCTCATCTGTTGCGTACAATGCTGTGATATCATGCGAAGTCCTGGAGCACTCTTTGCATCAATGGAATGGCCAGGGTGACGTACCCGAGTTTTTGTGCGATTACCTGTGAGTGTTCGACCCCTATCTTGAAATGTTTAGTCATCAAATCAAAAAATTCCTACTCTGTGTGTCAATCCGCCCTCAACTCACACACGTCCGATGCTCATATGCATCGTTACACCTTACCCTAGTGTGCGACTGTTCCTTCCGCATCGTTCTCAATTCCATTTCCACGCGGATGTTCGCTCGTTCCTTACGCGTATTCACCTGCCAGCCAATTACCCTCAAGCCTTACATCCAGCCTTCCTTAATTCAGTTTTTCTGTTAGCGTGCCATGTCTCTCTGTCAACCACGCGCAGCTCGGTTATCGCAACTTACGAGCGAATCTTCCTCCAGCGTACTCGCACCCAACTGGAACAGTCCCTCGCATATGCGGACCGCCTAACACATTTTCTTTGGGGATCCGCATTCCTTGGCTCGTATTATACACGTTGTGGGCGATTCGTCGAGGCGTACAACACGATATCTGCAGCTGTTCGCTTTGCGGTGGGATGTGGCATAGATGCATTCTCGTTCCCTCATAATGGCGCGACCTGCCAACCGTTTGACATGCTTCAAAGTGATACGAATTACGAGGCAGCATTCATGCACTTACAATCTGGCAGTGTGCCAACTTCGCGAGATGGCAAACTTCTGGCTCCATCAAATTCTCCCGAGGAGCTCCTCAGGAGAAATCATCTCTGGGGTGCGATTTTCCTTACCGACAGGACGCTGGTTGAGGCATCCGGAATGCCATCATCTGTCCCAAGAGCTGTAAGCGGCAATACTTGCTACGCATTTAGGACTTATGCTGATTCTTGTGTAGGCATTGGACATCATACATCAACATGCTTTCAATATGACACTCGAGGAGCTAATGACTCCAATGATGCATGATTCCCAGCGTCACCCTTCCTTGTCCGGCCATGTTGCGTTAGACTACGCTGGGAGTATCCGCCTACGAGTCAATGGCACCTGCCTCATGGAAGCCATTCAGAGCCTGGCCATAACCATGAAAGGTACGCGCTGTGTGCCAAAAATTGAGACTCAGGGACTGATTGGTCCCTGTCGTTGATGCGCCTAGGCCCTGATGCGGCTAATAGACTTGGTTCTGGCTCATTTTGGCAGACATTCAACCTCCTGGGCGCTCGTACTCAGCGAGATAAAACCGCCTTTCCCCCGCTCAACAGTGCATTTTCCCTTGAACATGCAGAATGTGTAAACACCGCTGCTGGGATAGTGGCACCATACCCCAATCCAACTATCTTCGTCTGCATGCTCCTGAACTATGCAGCAGAAATCCAACTGCATCAGCTCTTAAATGATGTTCTATCTTTCCACTCCCAGAGGACATCTCACGGGACGTCGAATGTCACCGAGATGCAGCGCAACGCTGAGCGCAGGGGCGTCAAGGCAGCACATGGAATGGCAGGACTTCTCCGAGTCGTGATATCTCCCAGCAGCGGACATGACTCACCGGGTTTAACCACTGACGGCACTCATGGGAGTGGAGACAGGGGGATTGGCGCCATTTCAAGCATTTATGCTGATACTAGCCTTGCGGTGGGTAGTCATGCGCAAATGTTTTATTCCATTATGACGCTGACTGCCTTCTCCTCAAGGTTTATGTCCACCTCGCCTGCCACGTCCTTATGAAAGATGTCGAAAGGCACCATCAACTACCCGTTTCCAATCAGGACAAGGCTGATTTATGGACCACGTTTGATAATTTGGGAGTTCTCATTGGTGGTTTGATGGACTTTTCGAGATCTCAACCTTCCTTCAGTAAGTTGGTCAATTTGCAGAATTTGACTGATGCTAAAAGAAGCGCTCATTTTGCGTGCGCTCATGTTCCCAGGGGCTGACGCACATAAGCTGCGGAACACGATGAAGGACCGATCCAGTAAAATCTTTGGGGTGTGAATGAGATGAAATACTGTTGATCATGGACTGTTCTACCCGATAGAGATGCCCCTATACCTATCTACGTATTATAGTGACTACTAATTCCGTATGTCACCCAACAGTGGGGATGTTACATAATCTTACACTAAGTCCAATTTTTTTTTGATTGTATTCGATATTCTTGTCATGTGTCACGTCATATCATGGTAGTTCCCCGATGATGAGTCTGCCTTGATGCCCGGCCTCGTGCCTACGTGGCTATCCCATCTGTTTACACCGTGTCATACATCCACGGGATCGCCAGTTACACGGTAGGAGATTTTGTGTGTCGTCAGGTTGTGTGATCCTCGAGTCTAGTCCCTCCCGTGCGGTTGCAAAGCCATGATTAGTGCTCCCCCCCGTGTTTGCCCGCTGCTCGAGATTTCTTCAGGAACAAAGCCTTAAAAATGAAAATTCCTTTGGCCGATTGCATGAGTTTTACGTAAATTGCTTGATTCCTCCTAGTTTCTTGTGGAATGGCCATTCTATGATAATGTGTAGTCCGGTTCGCAGCCCGATGGCAAACTCGCACTCCTTGCCTTCCGCTCTGATATCGGATCGACGGCGGCGCCCGCGTAGGTGGGCGTGCCCTATTCGGGATCGGGTTTAGGTGGCTTTCTAGTTCAATGAGATAAGCCGTTCGGAGTCGGTTAAGGGTTTTGGCCTCGTTGTCTCGGTCATCTCCTTTCAGTGCAATCCTTCTACAAGGGAGAGCAATTTTTAAAATCTCTCTGCCTGGGCTTAAGTGAGTACTAACATAGCTAGGGTGTCTGCTCGGCGGTACCCTCGGGCTTTTGCGGCCGTGAATGAGCCTGTGTATGATTTCCCTCAACATTCCCACTCCATCTGGTTTCGCCTGGAAAATATGTTTCAGCACACTTGTATTGTCTGCATGTATGATTACCCTGTTTGGTCTATGGAGCGCGTTTCGTCATACTGTATTCTCCTTTCGGCTGCGACTCGCGAGGCCCATCATCACGTCGTAGGCGCAGACATTGCTTTACTCTCGGGTACAGTTTTGCCCCTAGAGTGTCTCATCCCCTTCTTCTCCATCTATGCATGAGCCTTCCGAGTAGGGTCTGGCACTAGCTCATTGAACTCAACGTGACGGTAGTCCCGTCCCTCGGCGTTCATGGTTTGGTGCATCCTAGTAATGCCTCCACATGTTAAAGCCGTTCATCTGGGGCAGGTTTGGTGCGCGTTGGTGGATCGAGCAAAACTCGTGGACAGACGAGAGCCTAAAACACTGTAAGCATCTAGTGCATTCGACCCGCATGTGCAGAGTAGCACTCCTAACGGTCGTGTGGACTGGAACGCAACTGTTGCGATAAACGTTGAATTGATGGTACAGAAATGAAGACAGGCTCGCCGACGACGCGCAATCATACCGTCGGAGCTTGCATCATTGAGGATCATAGTTCGTAAGATATTTGCGACAGCGAGTACATTACGCAATTTAGAGCGTCTGATGATGGTATCGCTGGGGGTTTATGAAATTGGGCAACGGGATCTACAGGCCCATTATGCGAATAGGTACCGCTGCGAAATTTTGGCAAGATGGTTGTCAGCGCAACTAAGCATCCTAATGGGGCGATGGAATCCACCAAATAATGATGTGTTTTGGTGCCAGGCACAAGTAAACCTCAACAGATGACTCAGTAGAGGCAGGATACTATGATCTCCTGTTGTTGTCAACGTCAACCTCCAATAAACGGGGAGTCTATACACCGTGCGGCGCGTTGGCGCGGGGGGATACAAACTGGGCACTGTGTATCCTAGAAGAAGCAGAAGTCCCACAGTCATTGCGTGAAACCCTGCATGCTACCCTGCGTCGATGAACTGCGAGCGAATATGTTGACAAGGAACACCAGGAAAGATGTTCATAGGCCATCCCTTTGCCTTCTGCAGCGGTTAGAGGGAAGCACGATTTCCTTGGAGTAAATCGCCGACATCTGGAAAATCACCCGTCCGCCTGGGAGAATGTCCAAGCGAACAGTTAAGGACGGAGGATGGATTAGGATGAGAGGAACTGGAGTGGGGAAGTTCAAGGGAGAGGTGGTTTCAAAAGTACTTCTTTGCCTTTCAGCAAAGAGTTAGTGCACCTCAAGCGCTGCGTTTTCGAGGCCAATATCTCAGTTCCCGTTCTTCCTCCAAAGCCCAAAGGACATGTTCAAACTCTCGTTTGAACCTCCCTTCCAAGTACCTCCTCAATCCAGGGACATGAAGAAAATGAGAGACAGCGAAAAACAGCGGAGTTCTGCATGGCAGTCTGATTCCGGAAGACAGAGTCACGCGCATATGCAACCTGGTAAGGACTCTGACGCCATTGAGTGTACCTCTGAATGAGGTCAACGTGGGTTTCAGCACCGAGGGTTCCCTGCGAACCCGAGAGTGATGCGACCTTCAGAACGAGGGTCGGCACATATTTGAGGGCATTATCCTCGTCTCTACCTGACTCTTTAGCAGAGTCAGGTCTGCCTTGTTCATGAGATCTGAGAGTTGCCGCTAGGTAACCCCATAGCGGCGAGTAAGTGCGCATCCGGTTTAGGGAGCTGGACGCGACGGGGTCTGATGTAGACCTGATTGTCGCGTCAATTCGCCCGGTTGGGACAGGCAGAAATGTGTCAGAGGCACCGATTTGATCGGGATGATACCAGTGTCACTGGCACTGTGGAACGATACGCCTAGATTTCACCCTTCGTGGAGCAGAGGGCAAACCTGCCACCCTTCTAGACTCCATGTCGTAGAAGACAGGTGGATCAGCCACGGCTGATCTAGTTGACATCTTGCCCCGTGAGGGAGCCAACTCTGGGCATCTCATGCCGCATCTGTCTGGAGCACACAGAAAACACGCGAAAAGCGCGTGTTAAACTCAAAGAACTAATGGTAAATAACTCACAAAGTTAAAAAAGTGTAAGGCGGTCCTCGGGCCGTCGACGATATGAACTTGTATGAAGGTGATGGGAACCTTTTCCTACATCCTGTGACCACAGTTGTATGTACATCGGAGTAATAGAGGTCCCCCGGGTGTACATATTACCTTTGTTCTTCACAATTCACCATCCATTCCTTACCTATAGATCGGAAGCGTACGGACATGTCGGGAAGGGTGTCGGGATTGGTGGGATGCTGCGCGTCAGCACAGCGTGTAAGCACACTGACTGTACAACCTTAGATGGTGTCATAATCCTCGACCCCAGATAATAACAAAGGAATCTTCTTGATAGAATACTCTGAGGTGATTTTTCATGTTATTAGCGGCCGGTGGGATGACAACATCGACGACTCACCCCAAAAAGGGTAGTAGTTCACGAGCTCGAGCAGGATATCTAATATGATGAGAAGACTTCGGTTACATTCAGCTGTGGCCGTGTCACTTGGTGACATGCGTGATCTTAGATGCATTATTTCCCGAATGAGCACCTCACAACCCATGTAGAAGTACCACTGCAGCAAACAAGAATAAGAGCCTGAGCTAAGTAGCTCAGGAAGGATGCAATATCCGACTTACGATTGAATTCAGATGCCCATGAATAGGCAACAATGATCCGGTGGGTCGGATGTGAGATGCAATCCTTGCCATAGCATGCGCTGCGTTAACGACATTCTTCCTTGAGCTGACGTCTGGGTGAACCGAGACTTGGATGTTGTTCAGCAAGATAGCGCACGCATGTAAAGCCAGATGTGCCTGGACAAGCTCTGGGTTCGCGTAACAAACTGTCTCGCTTGGCTGAAGACCACGAGGATCTGCGATATCTGGAAGATTCTGAGATAGGATGGAGTAGGCTTTGAGGAGCACTCCGTGGCGCCGTCTGCAGCCTTCAGCAAGAGATCCGTCTGGGGCTGAGGTTTCAATGTCAATTGTGAAACTCCCGAACTGCCATGCTTGCACCTACTTAGGCTGATGCCTAGCACAAGGTTTTTCGCTGCCTCCAAAAGGACGGCAGACTTTGTCTTGAGGTCAGCTTCTGGGACTTGGTTGACGCTTTGATATGCTCTCAGATCAGGGCTCGGTAGTAGCTCATGCGTCATCCGACTATAGGAGGAGAGCATCGCCTCCACTGAGGCACGATTCTGTGCCGAACCACAAATATAAGCTATGGTGCTGGCATAGAAATCATATACACCCACATCGCCTGGAGCCGATGAGGGAAATCCAGCACACAAACTAATAGAAGTTTCGCAAAGAACAAGAGCATACCACAAGTTGACTCTCTCGACGCTCTCAATGGCATCAGCAGGAGGAGTAAGCAGGCTTTCCGAGTCGGGCGTCATTCGGTATGCTTCGTCCCCTCGAGCACTCCCATGAAGCCCCGCGGCGACTGCAAAGCGTACAGTGGCTGAGATCGTGTTGAACGCCTTCGCCACTCTTCCACCCCGCATATAATAGCAGCCAAGGATGACTGAGGCCCACATGAAATGAATGAGCCGGTCGGCGTAAGTGAGCGACTGCTCAAGGTGGCTGCATGTGTGAGTTAAGAACACAGGCTCGTAGCTAGACATCAATCCACCGCCGACGGAGCAAGCAGCTAGATGGATGGCACTCAGTAGAGCAGGGTGAACAGACTCGGGATGCGTGGGTGGAAAATGAGCGCGTTGTAGGAAGCGCGGAATGTGAATGTAAAAATTGAATTGACCTTTGAAGGGAAGGAAAACTTGAATGCTGGATTATATTAGTAGGTGAATATTGAGAGCCGTTGCACAAAACTAACAGATGTTGGCTCAAGTCGTGGGGGACCCCCAAAGAAGTGTCAAAGTGTTGTAATTTGTCATCTATCACACCCCTTGGTATGACCGTGCCGTAGCCTTCAGGCAAGACGACCCTCGTGACAGAGCCGGTCCCACAGGTGGGTCTAGGCAAGTTAAGAACGGAGGAATCAGGATACAAAGGGATGTATGGTCGACCAGGGAACCCACGCGGGGGGTTCCCGACTTCCCCTTCGCAACCGCTGAGTCTCTGGATGAGTCCATGCTTGGAGATAGCAGTCTTTCTCAACATCCCCCTGACCTCCCTGCTCACATTTGATACCCTTTCTTCGAGCTGGCTCAACGAGGGCCGAGTGGGGCGTTCCATACGCTCATAATGACAGTCTCTATTAAACTTCTCACATCTGCCGCAAATTGGCCGTGTGGTGTCACATTTCTGCAAGAAAATGGGGTTGGGATGAGAAAAAAGGTGCTAAAATACACACGTACAGTTTTCCTGCGACGACATTCGACGCACGCCATTCCGGGAAGTAGCGAATTTTGGGAGGGTAAATCGATCGAAGGGACTTTATGTTTCCTCTGTAGATATCCGAGTTTGAGGGTCACCAAGTCTCTCAAATCTCTGTCTAGATATCTGTGTCGTCCAGGATGACAGGAGCATGCGGCTTTCCATTCTTTCCGTTCTCGAAAGCCATCTATCGACAGCACCCTCGTGGTGTCATGCCGTCGCTTGCGACGTGAGGTGGTTCCTATTAAATGTGGCTGCCGAGAGCAAATTAATTCCGCTGTATGAGAATCGGTTGTAGGCGCCCAAAAAGAAGCTCTGGATGGTTACATTGTTGCCATCAGGAACACATTCTACCACTGCCCTGCGCTCTTAAACCTCCGCGAGTGGCGCTGGGGATCGGCGGGGGTACATCGGTGGCCGGATAACGCCCGGGATCCCTGCTTCCGATGCAATCCCCCTGGGTCCCGGTAAAACACACTGAGGTGGTGACAGGGGTGGTGACGCAGAAAAAAGGCGGCAGCAACACGAAGTTATAAAAGACAGCGAAAGGCTAGAAAACAAATACCTAGCGCCGATACATAAATACACGGGATCCCACCGCCAAAGGTAATCGAAGGTCACAACACCTTCGCCTTCAGCAAGACCGAATACTTACAATCGGTACCATACTCGAAGGCAGATCAAGCTGGCAATAAAAAACCGAGAATTAGGTCGTGAAGATGCAGCGGACAGAATAGAGGCACGGAGCCAAAGCGTACGGCGGACGCCATACAAGATTGATGGAGTAGGCACGGGGCCGGTGCGTGCAGTAGATGCGGAGAAGGCGCGGGGACCGAAACCGAGACAACGTACCCGAAGCAGTACTTGTACTGGCACGACCAACAACCGGTCACGCGTCACGCGAGGACCTTGGATTGAATTGAAAATTAACACGATTGAATTGATTAGCAGCCTCCGGCAACTCCCGGAGGCCGTGGGAACCGGTTGTTGGTCGTGCCAGTGAGATTGACCCTGGAGCAACTGGAAAGACTACTGGACCTGCAAAGAGAGGACAGACACAGAAATCCCGAAGCGTGCAGCGGACGCAAGGGAAAGGATGTGAGTGCCAGGACCCAAGTCTCATTGATCTCGTGCTCCATTAACTGTTGTCGGAAATGGGTGGTTTATTCTGCGTTCGCTCGGGAATCGTCACAACTACATTGACTGGGGGTGCTTGTTCCTCGGAAAATTCTCCTGTCCGGATAGCCACCATTGGTACTGCACCTCATGATGCAATCGTGGCACTCCCTCGGAGGCGGTGTCCCGAGTGGGAGTCCACGCTTCATCAAGGGGTGGTCGATCACCCGGGCATTGCAATGTTTAGACTTCCCGTGAGGAGACCGTGGCAACACTGTGAGGGGGGTAAAACGCAAGGATAGACGCTATTGTTTCAGGTGACTATGGTGTTCATTTCGATGCAATGTGGAAGGGCGCTGCATCGATTAGACAATGACGTAACCCACGTAACTCACGGGATGCACGGCGGTCATGCGCAATCATGCCGTCTTGCAGCATTCGAGGCTCATGCTTCGTGAAATATTTGCCACAGCCTATTCTCACTATCAGCTCAGTAATTGCGTTGTGTTGTTTAGAGCGTATGATGGTATCGCTGTGGAACATATGAAACTTGGGATGAGATCCGGAAGCGGTCCCTCTACATCCAATCTAAATCCCAGCAAGTCTCGGGTATTGTAAGCGCGCGTATATAAGTAAGATGAAAAAGTTGCAGGAATTACTGCCTGAACATGAAAGCCATTAAGGAATTTCATGATTAAATCTCAGATTTCAGTCTGGTATAAGTTCGTTTTAGGGCAAAAACCATGAACAGAGGCGTAGGAAGCGAGAAATATACCCATGCAGTACATATGCGAGAAGGGGGGATTGAGGCAACATACGCTGATGAAATAGTCCTGCATGGGGTAGTGGAAATACGCTAACACTCGTGGTGCACAGCACACAAGCGCTTAAGTTCCGAATCGTTCCACCAAGAAAGGAGGGAGAAGAAGAGCGAAAAGGAAAAGGAGAAAAGAGAAAGTGACGGCAAAGAGAGAAAAGAGAAAAGCAAAAAGAGAAGAGAAAAAAAAATAAACGGGGGTCTGTTTAACAAACCAAACGACGAAAATCGGAAAAAGAAGAAGTACGAAAGAACGCCCTCCAATCCACCCACTCAGTGTGGTCTGGAAGCGCCATAGAGAGGTGGGGTTGTCGAGGACGCTGCGCCCAGACGATACAATGGGGGGGGATAGTGTACGTGGTAGAACGGGCGGTTGAGGGGAAGAATGGTGATAAGTAAGAATCGACAAACTCGAAATTGAGAGTGGGTTCTCATATTTTGCTACATAGTCATAAAGGGCCCGTGTCGAAGTAGAATTCTCCCCCTGTAGGAAGAAGTCAGCTGGGGGTGCGTATAATTTAGCCATTGTCTTACCAGCCATTCACACAGATCATTCAGACAAACAAGCGCCCGGTCAAGTTGTCCCGTGAATGACATGACAACAATCCAGAACGGAAGGATAGGCTGTAGGGAGGATAGTGCTGACTGGATTTTGTTGTCGTGGTGATCTGCTTGGCATATCAAGTTCATCCAATGGAAGCACGCAAGCTTCAGTTCAGGTGAAATGCATCGCTCAAATTCGTCATTCAGTGTCGGAATGTCGGAATTGGGTCGGAAGCGCCACTCCTGAGGCAAATCATCGAGAGCACAGCACCCGGCCACGACCTCGATGGCAGATAGCACATGAGAACGGCTGGACGGCGGAATAGAAGGGTGGCGGTAAGCGAAGATGGATAAACTAGACGCTGCGAGTGGGTCTTTATATTTTTCGACCAAGTCGTACAGAGCCCGCATTGAAGTAGATTTCTCTCCCTATGCGAAGGAGTAAGCCTGAGTCACTCATGGTTTACCGTTTGTCTTACCAGCCATTCGCATAGATCATCCAGACAAACAAGTGCTCGGTCGAGTTCTCCCATGAATGACATGACGGCGACCCAGTACGGAAGAATGGGTTGCAAGGAGAACAGAGCAGACTGAATCTCGCTATCGAGGGGATCTACTTGACGTACCAAGTTCGTCCAGTTGAGACACGCAAGCCTCAACTCAGGCGAGATGCACCGCTCGAATTCGACATTCAGTGTCGGGATGTCGGAATTATTCTGGAAGCGCCATATCCAGGGCAAATCGTCAAGAGCACGGCATCCCGCCACAACACCGATTACAGACAGCACATGAGACCGCGGCGGAACGGAAGGATGATGATAAGCGAGGATCGATAAACTCGACTTTGCGAGAGGGTCTTGATATTTTGCGACTAAGTCGCGCAGAGCCCGCATTGAAGCTGGGCTCTCTCTCTACAGGAAGGATTAAGTTTGAATTCCATGTGATCTGGCTATTGTCTTACCAGCCATTCGCATAAGTCATTCAAGCAAACAAGCGCTCGGTCAAGTTCTCCCATGAATGACATGGCCGCAATCCAGAATGGAAGGATAGGTTGCAGGGAGGACAGCGCTGACTGAATGTCAGCGTCAAGGTGATCTGCTTGGCATACCAGATTGGTCCAATGGAGGCACGCAAGCCTCAGCTCGGGTGAAATGCGCCCTTCAAACTCGTCACGCAATGTCGGGATGTCGGAATTGTTTTGGAATCGCCATTGCCGGGGCAAATCATCAAGAGCACGGCAGCCAGCCACAACCTCGATGGCAGATAGCACATGGGACCGATTAGGCGCCGGAATGGACGGGTGATGATAAGCGAGAATAGATAACGTCGACGTTGAGAGCTGGTCTTTGTTCTTTGCGACCAGGCTGTACAGATCTCGTGCTGAGGCGGACCTCTCTCCCTGGCAAAAAAGGTGAGCATGGGCCGCATCTGGGTTAGACCGTTAACCAACCATCCATTCGCACAAGTCATTCAGGCAAACAAGGGCCCGGTCGAGTTCCCCCATGAACGACATGACGGCGATCCAGAAAGGAAGAAGAGCATGTAGTTTGAACAGTGCTGACTGAATGCGAGAATCCCGACGATCCGCCTGGGACAGGAGAGTAGTCCAGTGGAGACATGCAAGTTTCAGCTCGGGTGAAATGCGTCGCTCAAACTCAGTACTCAGCATTGGGATGTCGGAATTGTTCTGAAAGCGCCATAGCCAAGGCAACTCATCCAGAACATTGCACGCGATTACTGCCCTAAGGGCAGACAGCACGTGCAACTGGTTGGAAGGCGGAATGGATTGGTGGCGGAGTCTGAGAAGGGACAGGGACGACTTGGATAAGGTCGTTTTGGATTTGGTGACGAGATCATATAGATCATGAATATCAGAACGGGACTGTCCCTATGATCCACAAGAAATTAGTACGGAGCAGGCACTGTTTTGCACTTTCATACCATCCAATCACAAACTTTACGAAGGCCGTCGCATGCTTCGTCTAGCCTGCCCATGATTGCCATGGCTACTGTCCAGTATGGGAGCGACTTGTTTAGTAAAGATATGAATTTCCCAGCTTTGGGGTCCGCTTGGGGCAACAAAGCAATCCAGCGTCCGCCCATGGACCTTAACCCAGGTGAAATGAGCCTCTCAAACTCATCAATCAGGGTTGGAATTTCGGCATCCATCTGAAAACGCCATGTCCACGGCAGGGCCTCCACGGCCATACATTCTCCCATCATTTCGACCATCCGCAACAATGTGTTCCGCAGCCGCAAAGGCAACGATGTGGAATTATGGTCGTCACGCCCTTTGAGGAAGAAGTAGCTCCATTCGTGCTCAAAATGCTCCGAGGACGGACTAGGTTGCAGCTGCTAAAGATTAAAGCAGGGTGGGTGTGGGTGGGATAAGCCGCTTACCGATGATCCCAAATTATCTTGAATAGCCGTGGCCAAGCTTTCAAATTCCGCCGCATCTAGAGTGTGGGAAAACGATGGGTGCTTTGCTACCCAGGTCGTGACAACTTGACGGAGTTGGCTGGGCGAGAGATCCATGAGTAAACCCCTTGATCAATTCGAGACTACCAACCTTGGGAAGCCTGGCTTGAACATCCGCGCACCATGGAAACCCCAATGTCCGAGCAGATGCTCATGAATGGCCTCGTATAATGCCGCGAGTAAGTGCTTGACTCGTGAGTGGATATCGTAAGTGGCGAGAGGGGAAAAGGCGTGATTGCCGATATCCTGATTCGAAAGAAGCCGTTAGAACGCGCGTTGAACCGAGAGTCTGGTCATAATACCCACATGGCCGATTCTGATAACTTCTAACGTAAATTGCATGGATTTCAGTAGGGAGGGATCATCGACCATTTTAGCAAGTGTCATGACCGTCGCTGCCATCCCGTTAATTTCAGGGAAGACAAATCCCTTATATACGCGGTTCCTAATCTTCCTGCGGCGCTTCTCGGTTCGCTTCACTTTATAAAGAGCGCCAGTCTTGTATTGAGCCCCGAAATTCCTGAGCAGCATTTCTTGGACCATTGCGGAGAAAAACCAGCAATTTTCCTGGAAACACGACAGCTGTCAATAGGCTCGGTCGCGATACGTGACTTGCCACGTACCCATGTAAGCTTATGCGTTTGGGATTCCCCCGCGACAACATGAAGCACCCGCGCTACATCACGAAGTGACACCGGGTTGGAGAGTTCTAGTTCTGCTTCCACCCGAGTCCTCCCTCTCTCGTTGTCCTTGCGATCAAACAAATCGTTACGACGAGCGGAGATCCTAGCCTAATAGGGATGAGTATTCCATAAATAATATAAGTTCACCGCTAAACAATCACCGTGTCCTTTACGGGCGAGCCGCCCAAGTCCCGCAAAATGGGATCTCGCGTCGGGACTGCCTTATCCCCTCGGCGATCCACACGAAGATAGACTTCTTTCATATCGCCGCGGAGAATTTGGAATATAAGAAACCGATGGCGCACGCCAGTGGGCCTAATACAACACTCGACCTTTTGAATCTTGGCCCTAGCAGCACGAGGGCTTCTTAGGACACTTTCACAGAAAACTCGAACAGAATAAAGCCGAGATCTATAATCGTCCAGATACATGTGCGAGGAAGTGTGGGCTGATGCGATGCCTCTCCTGGTGAACTCGCGTCGCAAAGGGGCCAACTTAGCCAGCTCCATGCCGCTATCAAGCTAATAAAAATGCAATGAGTCATATTCGGAAGGAACAAAGCAGTCAACCATACTTCTCCCAGATAAACGTCGACCTCGCCATAACCCAGAGAGTCCTTTAACTCCGCCTCCGGGGCGTCTCCGTGCTCTTCATCAGCTTCCGACGCTGATAAAGGGAAAATTGGCGCCGCATCATCAGTCCCGAATTGGATCTCAACGGTAAGATGACGCTTACTATTAGATTCAAAGTCAGTCTGCGGCTCAGAAGTCTGGTCGATTAAAATATTTGAGCTTGCTGCTGAAGAGGACATTGCACGTTCCGGGCTGAGCTCAGCCGTGAAATTAATCAATGTTTTCGCAATGAAAACGTTTCTCTCCGAACCAGCGGAGTCAGTAGGGTACTCCTAAGGACACGATTGAAAGGTTGTCAGTCCTGGTACGACACGGGCGTAAGGGAACGTTCGTACGGAAGGCATATTAGATAGCAAAGGAGGATTATGAGACAGCTACAAGCAAATTCGAGGGTTGTAGAGAGGACTGGGGAGTATGTAGTTAAGAAGTAGTGTCTGCTGGGCTTGAGTCTGCCACGACTGACGTTCATGGTGATGCTTAAGTAATCGATATGAACGCATTGCCTGCATGTCCATGAGGACCAGGAGCAAGAAGTAGCAGCTGGTGTGCAAGTTGTCATAGTGAAGCCAGAAACTAGCCTCGAGGATGTCGCTCGCCTGGAATGGTAATTGCCGTACATATTTCCTAATTTATACTTATGTAATTTGTGCATCTTATCATCTTATTCACGATGACGTCGCTGCATCGGATTCACCTATCTACGACACCGACAAAGCTATGATCTCCGTGTGTTATCGGGTTCCCCATGAACAGCTCGCCGTCGGAGGCTCGAAGGGCACAGTAACATCGCCCCTTTCAACCGTTAATATTATGGGAACAACCTACCCCATACACCGACCTTCTCTCATACCATACTACTCCCTCTTTTCCAGGGAGCTCCACCTGGGTTCGGCTGCTATCCCATACAGCCCAGCAGCTCATCCTGCCAGTTGAATTGACATATCAGGTGTTGTGTGATGGGATGGCGGTAGGAAGGTTACCAGCCTCTATCGAAATACGTAGATGGCGTAGGGTTGGACGTATGGCCCGGACAAACTTTCATGGAAGTGTAAATAGACACCAGGCGCTGTAGCGACTAGGAACGGTCAATTTTTGGCGCCAGGAACATAACAGAGCACGCTGCTTTCATCCGGCTCGCCCATCGCGCGAACAAGTTACCGGTAAATTTTAATAGCGCCGTTTCACATACCGCCCCCTGGAGACACCGCAACCGTTTCAAGGACAGACATCCTAAGCAATGCTAACGTCCCATGTTCACGATCGGTCCAGTGACGAAGCCAACTGTGTCAAAGTATGCAACCTATCCACGGGTCCTTGGCTTGTATTTGTATAACCACCCCGCGATGTTGGAAACCCGCTCGGTTAAGTGAGTCAAACTGAAGTCATTGTACCCACGTTGCAATTATGTCTACGTGCGGCGATACCTGGCTGGGAGTTTGGCTTCGTAGAGAAGCCCGCCTGAGCGAGCTTCTGTTCTTGACTACGTAAATTGGTGCTTCATGTCTTTGTTGTTGGGAGTATGAACCCATCAGTGATTAACAACTTGTCCATGCATAGGAATGACCGGACGCTAGGTTACTAGCCGCAAGGAGGCTGCCATTAGCTTCATAGTGTGGCTGAAGCCGTTAATGGCAGGTGCATCACAGGTACAACGTGGCTATCAATTGGTCCTGGAAAGAAACTATGGGTTTGCCTGCTACCAAGTTGTTGCATGCCTCGTGGCGATTCCCTGGTTTTTAACTGTGCAGTGTTTGCTTGGGTATTACTGTCTCCGTTGCACCCCCAATCCCATTCCCGTCCGTTGATTTGTCTTTATCTATCATGTCACTGAAGTGATTGCAGCAGTGAGAGGTGACACGGCAATCCCGATCCTCACACCTGTCAAACGCCACACCCGATGTGGATCTCTAGCGGCATGTCCTTCATGCTTGATATCCATGTTAGTACTGGCTCGCATTGAACAGGAGCGAAAGAAAGTCTTATCTAAAGTGGGCGCCGTGGTCAATTCTTAACGATGAATCGGCAACTGAGCAAAGCATTCCGTGGAGAAGGGTGTGCCGTTATATACTCCTCTATCCTTACCAGCTGTATGGCATCCATTAGCACGTTTCAACAGGCTACATCTAACGTCGATCGAATCCTCGCAAAGTGGAAAAATAGAATCGGAATTTTGACAAAGTTGGCTCCGGCATTATTTCAGCTGACTCTCGCATTGTCGTTCCTTTGTCATCTTGACCTTTAGGGTCATGTACGTAGCTGGAATCAACCTGGCACTAGTACTAAACTGATAGACGTAACGAACAATCAAGGCCCTCCGAGTTGCAGGTATCCATGGCTGCACTCCTGGAAGATAAGTGAAAGGAGTGTTACGGACGAGTATCGCTTCAGCTAAGCCATGCTTGTGCAAGAGTGTTCCTTTCAATACGTCCCTTATCCAGTGTATTTATCTTTCATAGTCTGGGTAATGGCGGAGCTCACATCACTGACAGGACTATTGTCATGCATGGTACGCAAGGTCATAGGCGACCTTTCCTGTATGCTTTTGCTCCGGATATTCATCCTCGCGGCTCGCATCGATACTTGCCTGAACAGACTGACGAACGCCAGTGATATCGTAAGTGTTCTCGTCTGTGCAGCGTGGGTACACTCCATCATCGGTGGGATCACGGAAGCTGAGCCTATGGCTCGTGAGTCGCTGATCTTCGGCTTGTCGCTGCTATCAGAGGGGCCTGTTTCAGGGGCATGAGCATTTGATGGTGGGCGCAATTCAAGTGGTTGCTGGGCTTCGTTGGGTCGGGATTTCTTTGCTATTGGTAGATGAGATATTTAGAATGACGCTGGTGACTTCTATCACTCACTTGCTAAGTTACTATAGATGTTGGCCACCTACCTACTGGTAATCAAAGGGCTAGAGAGGTCCACAAGGCATTGATCGGGCATTCTGCAACGCCGCTGTGGCAGCTTTTCCAGCAGCTTTCTCCCTCTTTCTCCACAACATTGCTATTGAATAGGAATATCGAAGGGTTCCGTGGCGTGGGAAATTCACCAGTCTTAATTACGTTCCGGGTCGTCGGGTTCAACGGACTGTCCCGCGTGTGGTTGGACTTTCCCTCCCTTGCCCAACGCGACACTCCATCTTATCCAAGCACCACCTTCTGGATTCAAGCAGTAATGCCACCTAGGAAGTTATCCGGAGACACGGCGCCTGCAGAAGGGACTCGCCGAAGTTCCCGTATTGCTTCGAACCCCACACCTGTTGCCGCAGCGGCTGCATCCAAAGCCAGGAAGCCCTCCACGAAAGGGAAATCTGAGGGTACTGCCACTAAAAAGAAGCGAACCGCCAAGGAGGAAGATGAGGAAGCATCAGCGAAAAAAAAGGTAAAAGCAGCTCTTGTTCGAATACATGTTCTCTGACGTTGGATCATGATTCGTGGCAAACTTCACCTCAGGCTAAGACGGACGCTGAGGATGAGGACCAGATTGAAGACGATGGGTCTGGGGAAGGAGAGACTGCTGACGGCAAGGAGCTCCAGGTGGGAGATATCTTGCCAGATATCACACTCAAAAACGAGAAGGGAGATGACATCAAGGTCAATGACCTCACGAGCGCTGAACAAGGGGTAGTTTTCTTCCTCGTCCCAAAAGCTGATACGCGTGCGTATTAATTCTTCGACTGCTGACCATCGGCACCGACTTAGCTGACACAAGAACCATACCTTCGTCATAGCTGGTTGCACAACGCAAGCATGTCTCTTCAGGGACTCCTACTCGGAGTTTAATCAAGTCTCGTACGCTGTCTACTGCGTTAGTGCCGACACGCCTCAAGCCCAACAAAAATGGCAAACTAAGGTGTGCATTATTTCTCTTCCATTCGCATAACCCATCTCACTTTCGTCCCGCCTGCCGCAACTGACTATATACCTGTTATTTGCTAATATGTTTTTCTCTACCTTGCTATTTAGAAAGAACTCCCTTATCCCCTCCTCTCGGACCCTAAGCGCACCTTCATTCGAGCCCTTGGATCATTGAAGCCACCCAAATCCACTGCGCGCTCCCACTTTATATTCGAGAAAGGAAGTGGCAAGCTTATCGATAAAAAGAGAAGTGTTAAACCTGCTGAGAGGTACGCAACGTTCCACTTCCAGTCTGAGATGTGCTTGTTTACTGTCCCTTGTTTGTGATATGATAATACGTTTCATGACTGGGATGTAGTGCAAAACTGGCGCTCGAGTTTATTAAGAAACATCATGGGACGGTGGCAGGGGACGTAGTGTCCACAGAGCCAAAGGACGCAGAGGAAGAGCAAGCGGCAGAAACTCAAGAGCGGGAAGAGAAAGAAGAAAGGGCAGAGTCCACCACCGAAGAAAAAAGCCCCGTGGAGAACGGGAAGAATCCCGAAGACAATGACGATACTGTCATGGCAGATTCTTGATCTTGGACGGTTTTGCTGTTCAAGTCATCAGTGGTGTTCGTGCAACGCAGGAGTGAAGCTTGAATCATGTGCGTTGCAATCGAGTTGGTGTCTAGGGGAGAAGCACCCACCACTCGTGTCTGCGGTGTGTTTATGCTCTTTGGCCTCTGCTGCTGCTCTTCTCTCCGAACTTTCTTGGTTTTGACTCTGTATTGCCTTGCCTGTATGTTTATCTATCTGCCTCTGTTCTGCCTGCCTGCACGCCTGTCTTGCTTTGTGAAGGATGGATATACATATCACTTATGCAATGTCGATCAGTTGATCACGGGAACTGCGTCCCGTCACCCATGTTCGATTGGATGTTCGCGATGGCGCCGCGGATCAGATCAATGGACCGAGCGGTGACGGTGGTTATCGCGTTGGAACACCTGCCGACATCAGTCAATATACTCATTCGGTGATGGGCATGAAACGATCCAGTAGGAGAACTAGTGTTGAGAATGCAAATCGCGATGAAACCCAACCAACCCAACCAACCCCCAATGCCCTGTCCTTTACCCGGAAATAGGAGCGTAGCGGGATCAATGTTGGTGCTGCTCTACGATAGTCTTGTGTAAGCAAAAAAAAGGATAGTAAGTGCTCAGACTGGCTCCGGCCCAAGATGTGTAGATTATCACGATGAACGAGAAGGTGGGAAGGCCATCACCAATCAATGCTATCATCTGCTATCGCACGTTTCTGGAAGTATTTTCCAAACGGATTGGGGTTACGCAAAGGAGAACCTGTAATGTCTTCATTTGTAGGCTCCTGTACGGATGCATACTAGCCAAGTTTGTAAGGCGTTACCGCTTACATAACCTGTTTCCTCTGTATATTATATGAGGCGAGAAACGATCGAGTTAGATAGTTTAGAGAGCTTCTCTTGTACATATCTGACAACCAATCGAGTTCCAGCCTTCCCGCTCGATTGTCGGCATCACCCGACCTAAAGAGCTCACAAAATTTTCGCTCCTGGCATCATCGAAGGGTGGTCCTGTGCCCCGCCTTCTCCCGGCGGCTAGAAGGGAACCGGCCGCGGCCTGATGCCTCCACCACCGGCTCGGCCACTAGCAGGAACGATGTCTGAAAAAGGAAAGTTGAATGATTGCCAACACATTTCCAATCGCCGGATCGATGCTAGTACTCAGTAGCGTCTTTCCTCGTGCAAATGGGAAGGTGGGTTGGCATTCTGTGATCGTTGAATTGATTGGAATATTCGCCCTCACCATCGTACGATCGTACGTACAAATCAAACCTCATCAGGATCATGGCCTCATTGCAAACAGGTCAAGGGTTGTCCAGCGAACAACTTGATCCTGGCACGGTATAAAGCGTAGGCTGCTCATCGTCCGACGGATAGTTGTACGACATTTCTTGTGCTCATCTGGATTCATGTGCGACTGAGACTGCGTCGACTCAAACTCGATCGAGATCGCCCGCACGAGCCAATCCAGGTGAGCTATATCCTCGAGTCTGATGCGAAAATTTTCTATCATCGCATGGTATGCCAGACTGATGCCGCGATACATACCACAGCCCACTAATTCGAAACATCTTCTTTCTACCATATGTTTATTTTAATTTTGTGGCCCCGAAGACCGGACGTTGACTGCGTGTCTCTTCAGTTATCGCTCTTCTGTCTCCAAGAACCAGCTAGAAACTCACAACCCGGCCCCGCAACGCCTCCGGTTCGACTCGCGTTCTATTTCTACGACCATTTTCTGCTCGTTGTAGCCACCTCTTGTCCCATGGTTTCCTGCCGGTCTCCAACTTATCAAAGAGATTGAGACCTTGCTCCTTCAAGTTACGAAGACCCAGTGCTCTAAAGTGCTCCCCAAATGCTCTAGTGCTCGGAAGCACTCGGGAGCGCTCTAGGGCAGGGGAACTAGCTATCGGGTTTTCGTGACAAGTTCAACGACTCATTTATCAAACGCTGTGGGTTTGCATGGTGCAAACGGGAGAGTGCTAGGTGGTATCAAGTGGCCCGCCTCGCAAAGGCTAGACTGGTCGTAATGAGTTGCACTCTCAGGTGTCAGCGGCCTCACGGTCCCCGATCGATGGGTAGCTGTGCATACATATACTAGCCAAGTCATCCAATAGTTCTGAAATGTCACAACAGTAGTCAACATCTATCTCGCTACGTCCAGTTTTGAATGCCAATCATGGCTTTGCTTGTATCTAGATTTCATACAACGGAAAGAGTTCGAATTTATGCAAAGGTGCTAAGCAACAACACTCAAATATTGCGACACATTACTCAGTAGCAAGCTCCAACTTAATTTGGGCGATGGCCTTAGCAGGATTCAATCCCTTAGGGCATGTGCGCGAGCCTTTATGAGAGGAGCAAGTTGAGCCTTCCAATGCAGTCTCAGCATCGAGAAGATTGAAGGACCCACAGTTAAAAATCGTGTGGCACCGGTACAACGACATGGTGTTTTGAAGCTTCAACTTGCGTGCCGCAGAATAGGCGTCCTGTTCAAAGGATATTTCCCGTCGGGCGTGGAAAGATCGCAAATTTAGCTAAGCGGTGAATGAAGTTATGAACGCACCCGAGAGTCAGCAATCCATCGGTAAGAAGCCATAAGGGTGGCAGGTCCCAAGTACTCATCCTGGTTCCACCAGTACGAAGGGCAAGACGTACTGCAGCATGCACATAGGATGCATTCGTACATGCCATCGAGCTTCTTACGTTCCTCAGGTGATTGAAGGAATTCACCTGATAACGTTCGGTTAAGTTGAGTGAATATGAAGCAACCTATTGGTACCTTTCTCCGGGGGTTGTCGTTTGTAGGTATGGCTCAATGGACTTATACTGCTTGTAGAATTTGCGTCAGGTCGGCTGGGGAAACGCAAATTTAGCGAGAGTCAAGTGTTTGGGCGAGCAGCGACGTACGAACGAGGTCCTTGACAACGTACACTAACGAAACATGAATCAGGATCCACTTTTAACTGGCGGTTCTGAGAGAATCTCAAGCTTACTGTGTGGAAGGGGATAGATCTTCGTGTTCTGAGCTTCGTTCCTATCTATACGGCAGAGACATGCAAGAGTATTCTGCCCATCGATATTCATAGCGCATGAGCCACAAATGCCCTCACGGCAAGAACGACGAAAGGTGAGGGTGGGGTCAATCTCATTCTTAATTTTAATAAG